AAACCCCATGTATCGAGCAATCACTCAGGTTGAGTAATTATGAACTCAGGGCCAATACCATTTCTTCAGTACCTTTTGTACCCCTTTTACACTGTATTATACCCTAGATTTAATACATTTAAAATAGTAAATATTTCAATATGTATTTCTAAAAGAGAATAATTCTTTATAACCCCCAAATATTTTTGTGATAGTTTCCTATTAATGGATTAACGGATTTCCATCTTTTACCAAGAAAAGTAGGTGGTGAAGATTGCTGAATTTCTTTAACTTTCCTGTGTGATTAATCTCAAGAACCAGAAACAGACAGGTCTGAACCTAGAGAGAAAAAGCTGTACAGTTTGCTGCCTCTCACAAAAGCAAGTTCTTTAAAATCCCAGTCCCTCCCTAAAACACTACTCTAGAATTTATTTTATAAACTCTATCACTAAGCTTAGGATATGATGTGTGAGATCTGAGTCTTTGGCCTGTCAACGTCAATCCTGTGGCATAGGCTTAGCTCTTGGCTCCCTTTCTTGAAAATTTCAGAAGTATATAAAAATTACTTCTGAAATCCTCATGGATGAATTTTGCCAGGAATGTCAGTTATCTCTTGACATTTTGGCATTTACCTTTAAATTGTGTAATCATAATGCCATTCAGGAGAAATAAGGTGCTGGGTGATAGGCATTTTAAAAGTGAAATGGACTTGGGTTTCTGGGAATGTTAATCACTATTCTTCTGAAAATAGTGATAATCCACAATAGTGAAATGCTAAGTGGGTAAAAACTAATATTTTGTGATAACTTAGGTCGGAGGTGAGTAAAATATGATTTATGTTTATATAACAAATTTTTGCCAGAGTAGCATCCAAGAAATTTTTATATTTTCAAGTTTTGAAACTGAGAAAGTATTAAAGGAACCTTCTGATTGAGTTTCCACTAGTCTACTAGCCTGACCAACCCATCTCAGAAATAGATCGTTATTTTTGTCATTTTAACCAGCCTTCTTATTTTCTTGCCCTTGATTTTGAAGCAGAAGGGAAAGAAACTTGTGGTCTCTACCATAAATACTCATGGTAACAGTAGTCAAGTAATTTTATATTTTTTGTGGCAAGTCATTTGGTGGTGATGGAATGACTTATTTTTAATGCAGTGTTATTCTTTTGACTAAACTTTAATTTATCCCCCTTCTGATTTCTCATCTGTATCATTCCAAGATGTCCTAAAGTTAGCACAGTGTCTCATTTACCAAGTTGGTAGAAGTTTTAAAAGTTTTATTTGGTTTGCTTTCTCATATGAAATGGACTATTTGGGCATGGTGTAGCTGAAGAGAGACTTACTGTATCTGACATGTGGGTTGTATTAGGCATCATAGGGAAAAGGGAGTGTTGATTTTCTAATTTCACTTTAACATAAGTTATGAAAGTAGAATCATCTTTGTCAAGTAAATGTAAGTGTGGAAGTAGATCCTAAACAAATAACAAAATAGAAGAAACCCAGGTATATTGCATTATTTGGGTAAAGGATGGAAAAGATATTTTCAGTTTTCCAGAAGTGACATACATGAAATAACTTTAATAATTTTAAATGATTGAATAATTGCTTATGGATCAGTGTCATTTATAGCAAATTATTTCTGATTGATGGAGAATACTGCTAATATGGATTTTTATATTACAAAATTAGTTTGATTTCTTTTTTAAACTAATTTTATCTTTTAACTTGCTCTATTCTTTGATTATCTTTGCCAGTTTATGTAGTTTTGCCTAATGGCTAGGATATCTTTACCTATGCCACTATTTTATATTTAACTTCTAGATACCCTCAGTTGAGCAGAAACAACATTGGTGGAGCCAATGGCCAGGGACACTAGGAGACCCTTGTAGTAGCCTATGTAATACAGATGGCTTATATTTCATTTAACCAGTTTCCTGTTGATAGAAATTTAGGTGGTTTTCCATCTTTAAGGTTCAGGTTTTGCTATAAACGTTTGTGTGTGTATCAAAAGCACTTCATTAAAAAAAAAAAAATGTACTGGGGATTGGACCCAGGGGTGCTTTAACACTGAGCTTCTCACAGCAGAGTAACCACTATCCTAATTTGTAATACTACTGATTCATTTAGCTTGACTGTAGTATATATAAACAGAATCATACCTGCTTTTTTGTTTCTGTGTTTTTTTCACTTATCTGTGAAACCCTTATGTTTGTGTATCAAGTCATTCTCTTCGTTGATTTGTGGTATAAAATTCTGTTGGATGACTACACCATAGTTTCCTGTTTAACTTTTGATGAACCTGTGATTGTCTGTAATACTTGGATATTACATATAGTGTTGTGCACTTTCTTAAACATGTATTTGGAGAGCATGGCTGTACGTATCTGTTGATATATACCCAGGGATAGCACTGAGGGGGCACAGGACATGCCTATGTACAGATTCAGTGCTGCCAGCAATTTCTCAAAGCAATGAAACCATATCACACTCTCTGCTGGCTATTTGAAAAAAAAAAAAAAAAAATTAGGGCTGGGATTGTGGCTCAGCGGTAGAGTGCTCGCCTAGCACATGTGAGGCCCTGGATTTGATCCTCAGACCACATAAAAATAAATAAAAGATATTGTGTCCAACTACAACTAAAAAATAAATATTTTTTTAAAAATTAACTTAAAAATATGAATAAAAGAATAAATTTATTTTAAGTTGTGGAATATGGTGCTAAAGTTGACCTCAGAAGTAAAAATTCATACTCCACTGAACACAAGATTTTATCTATTTCTTTAATCTTTATTAATTTTATAGTGAAAAATCTTTTTAAACTTAAGTGAGTTGAACTTTTATTTTTTAACATTTATTTTTTTAGGTGTAGATGGACACAACACAATGCCTTTATTTGTTTGTGGTACGAGGATCGAACCCGGGTCCCTCCTGTGCTAGGCCAGTGCTCTACCACTGAGCCACAATCCCAGCCCTAACTTTTTTTTAATATCTATTTTTTAGTTGTAGTTGGACACAATATATATTAAAAATCCTTATTTATTTATTTATGCTGGGAATTGAACCCAGGGCCTCATGCATGCTAACATACCCATGCTCCACCTCTGAGTCATATCCCCAGCAAAATCTACATTTTTTGGTTGTATGCTATATATTTTTTCTCCCTAGCCTTTCCTTTGTCTTTTTTATCTTTTACAATATAAAAGTTTTAAATATGTATAATATCTGCTAATCTTTTCCTTTGCAGTTTCTGGCTTTGGTCTCAGGAAGGCCTTTTCCGTAGAAAAGTATTTTCTTTGTGTGCTTCTTGTTTGTTTTTAATTTTTATATTATAACTGGAGTTGACCCCCCCTCCCCCAACACACACAAACTCACACTCACACAAGGGTGCTTTTTTAAAACTTTTAAAATGTTTTAAACATGTTGTACTTAAAAACAAACAAACAAAAAATACTGCATTAGCTTTGGGATATTTTGTGGGTGTCAGGAAAAATTTAGTATATCAGAGCAGGCATCTGTGTGTCATTAGACCAGTGAGAAATGATCCCAGTTTTCCTATGTGAATATTATTTGAGTATGTTTGTTATGAGAATAGTTTTCAGTTAGAAAAGCATGAGACTAAATTAGTATAGTCTGGATTATATAATTTAAATATCTCTTGTGGATACTATCCAAGGCTCTCAAGCAAGGACTTTACCCAAAATATACCTGGTCTCTTGCAGTTTGTATTGTGGCCTATAGTACAAGGACTTGGGGAGCCAAATATTTAATTTCAAACCTTTAAAAATATCATTTTTTTCCATTATTTGAGATCATTTAAAAATTTTTGATTTATCTATTTTGTATATTCATATGTGTAATTAAAATGTAATTGGCACTGCTGATTGAGAAAGATGATACCTGTTCTGTCATTTCTGGTTTTCTTCTTTATTGTTACATTTAGATTTGAAAAATTCCCAAAGCCATACCACCTAAAATTCCTATCGTAGTGTCATTGTTGAGTTAGTCCACAAAGCAAAGACTTCAAATAGGTTTTAGATCAGTAGCACTGTCTTCTACTAAGACGGATTAATTAGTTTTCTGTAACTGAGTCAGTGAAGCGGTGAGAGCTCCAGGCCAGGTCAGTTTTTTAGGAAGAGAACTTAGAATTCTGAATTACCTCTCTGTAATTAAAGCCCTGGACCACACCAGAACCTAAAGGCAGGTCTAAAGGGGGTGGAGTCTGGGGAGGAAAGGAAAGAGTAAGTGAAAATAAATACAACAGATAAAACAGTCTGCCTTATAGTAAAGTTGTATCATTAATTATTTTGAGTATTTCATAAGCCAAGGAGAAAGTTGTGGGGACTTTCCTTAGTTAAATCCTTAATTTTAGGAGCATAGCACTTCTAGTTTAGGAGAATTTTTAGTGACTTACCAGACATGCGAATTTGACTAAAGAGTACTGAATTATGTTAAGGGCTTATTGGGGAGTAGAAGGTATAGTTAGGAAAAATATTAAAAGTGCCCATTTTTCATTTACATATAGGCAGATGTATTCTTATACATTTTCCATATTTAATCTTCACAGATTAAATGCTATTTTCCCAATTCACAGGGTGAGAACAAAGGGCATTATTTTTTTGTAGTTGTAGATGGACACATGCTTTTATTTTATTTGATTATTTTTATGTGGTGCTGAGGATCAAACCCAGTGCCTCATGCATGCTAGGCAAACGTTCTGCTGCTAAGCTACAGCCCCAGCCCACAAAGGGCATTATTTTGTCGAGGCTCACAAACCAAGTAAGTGACCGTCCTGGGATTTGAACAGCAGTCTCTCTCTGAATCCAAAGTTCATTCATATTCTTTTCATTAGAGTCAGATGCCTTCTAAACTACTAGAGCTGTTGTGTATTGTATTGTGTTGTGTACTGTGTATCAGTATCATGTCAAGTTTTGGTAACACTTTAGTTGGCATATCTTGAGGATGTTATCAGTAGTTCTTCCCCTGATATAAAGCCTGTGTACTTTCCTTTACCTTCCACCTTAGCATTGAGAGTAAGCATGAGGTTACAATCCTGGGAGGACTCAATGAATTTGTAGTGAAGTTTTATGGACCACAAGGAAGTAAGTATATATGTTCTTTTATAGTCTTTTATTCTTAAAGACAGAACATCATGGACAAATAGTAGCATGTATAGTTTTTGCTGAAAAGTAAGTTCAGTTGAACTCTAGAACCAGTGAGAAAACCAATTTCTCATCATAATTACTTTATACACTTTTCTTTCTAATGAGCTGTGAGAGTGATTTCTGGGAAGTGCATTTTGGGTTTTGTTGTTGTTGTTGTTTGTTTTGGGGGATTGAACCCAGGAGTACTTAACCACTCAGCCACATCCCCAGCCCCTCTTTGTATTTTATTTAGAGACAGAGTCTCACCAAATTGCTTAAGGCTTGGCTAAATTGCTGAGGCGGACTTTAAACTCGTGATCCTCCTGCCTCAGCTTCCTGAGCTGCTGGGATTATAGGTGTGCACCACCACACTGGACATTTTGTTCTTGTTTTGTTGTTGTTGTTGTTTGGTGGGGCTTGGCTGAGATAGGAGAAAAGGGAATGTAAGTAGCTATTACTTACCAGATTATAGTGTTTAATAGAATCAAATAAATTTGAAAGAGACAAATCACTGCTGATTTTCCAACTTTTGATGTTTTAAAGTACATAGAGAACCTACTGGTTATAGTAGGGTTCTGACTCTTTAAAGAATTAATTTTGAGTGTTTTCAGAAGAGATTAGGGTTTAACATTTAACTTATACTAAGATTTATTTTCTAATTTAAGGACACAATTCTGATGTTTAACCTTTTTTACTTTTATTCTAGCACCGTATGAAGGTGGAGTATGGAAAGTTAGAGTGGATCTTCCTGATAAATACCCTTTCAAATCTCCATCTATAGGTATGTGAGTACTTGGTTTGGTTTCTCTCCTTAGGGAATTTTGAAATCTAAGAGGAAAAGATATCCTACATTTTGTGGGAGATATTTCTAGAAATGATGATTTAACTGAGTTTTTGGTTGGTTAAATCAGTGACTTGGTGGGGACTTCCACAATGTGATAAAGGACATACACACACACACACACACACACACACACACACACACACCTTTGCATGATTATAATGACTTACAGTGTAGATTTTTCTCTTTAGGTGTCAACGAATGGTATATAATAACTGTTCTAATTTTGTCATCTAAAAATCCAGCCTAGATCTTACTTCACTTTGGTTAACCCCAGTTCTGGGTACTAAGCAATGAAACAACTCTTTCATTCTCTCCAATCTTTTTAGCCTTATAAACAGTAGACAGAAGAATAGCAACCTCAGTGTGGGATTATACAAGAGGTTTCCTTGCCTTCATCTTCCTTATACCTCAATTTGTGATGTTATTAACCTGTCTCCTCCACTGAGGTGTGCTCAGTGATAATTAAGTTATTTTAGTACTTCTGATTGAAAGTGACAACTCTAAATATTTGAGATTGTAGAAGGATAGTTCTCTCATTAACTTTAGTAAACTTTTTTTAACTTTAGTCTATACGTAACTAAAATATTATAAAGTATTGACCAATTTTAAGTAAGAACAATAAAATAAAATTGGAATATATTGAACAATCTTTGATGGTCCGACTGAGCTTTGTACTGAGAACAGCTAGAGTTAAAATATCTTGGTACCACTGTAACTGTCTTCAGAGCTAAAGCCAGATAGATCTCCTGGCTGCAAACAACAAAAAAGTTTAAAAAAAAAAAAAGAACCAAAGCTTTCTGAAGCTTTGATTTCATTTCATGCTTCTGTATTTCTTTGTAAGGCAAATAGTACAGAAGAGTTAGGATGGTCACAGACTTAAGTCCAAAAGCGGTAACCTCTTCCTTAATATCTAACTACTTTACATGCTTTAGTATTTTATGCTTTAAAAATATAGAGCATCTATAAATTTGTTCTTAGACTGGATAAATTTTGTGCTCATTTCCTTGAGTTTGTTAGATGAGTTTTCTAAACCAGCACTCAAGAAGATACTTTATGGATAAATGAATCTGAAATTTTTTCATTGGTTTAGGAGCTCCAAGTTTTAGAGTTAGGAATGGTGAAGTGGTATCATGAGGTGTGTAGTGTTTGAAACAACTCAAGAGCGCATCTGACTTTAATAGCTGTGTGGTTGAGGGCATCGGCCTTTTCTTGCCTCCAATCCATGACAGCATGTTGTAGTTCCCTGCCGCTAGTTTATTCATCTCTTAACTTGAGAGGGGTGTTTCTATTCAGACATTTGAAACATGTATGTAGTCAAGTGATATGATCTTAAAGCCTTTACAAATTACCCAAACCATGTAAATTCATTCAGACACATCTCATAAATACATTGACTTAAAAAGTAAAAATTAGCCTTCCAAATCCAGTTTTGTTACACCACATTCCTAGTCAGAGAGGAGACAGTAGAGCTTACTGAAATTAGTACTTAACCTATAGAAATGCAGTTGCATATCCTGTACAAAAGTAGTTATTTCCCAAATGTTGTTATTGTTCCAGGTAACATGATTGATTCATTTTAGCTTTTTAAATAAAATAGGTAAAAATATCTACAACTTTATCCAGTATGCCTTTTTCCTCCTGATGCTGTGGTTAGAACAAGGGCCTTGAATATGTGAGGCAGGTGCTGTACCTCTGAACTACACCCCCATCCCTAAAATATCTAAACTTTAGACACTGCTTATTTATTAACAAGCCTGTGTCCTTTCCAAAAAGTCAGTGACCTTGTATAAAATTGACTTGGACAGCTGGGCGTGGTAGTGCACACCTGCAATCCTAGCAGCTTGGGAGGCTGAGGCAGGAGGATCCTGAGTTCAGAGCCAGCCTCACCAAAAGTGAGGTGCTAAGCAACTCAGTTAGACCGTGTCTCTAAATAAAATACAAAATAGGGCTAGGGATGTGGCTCAGTGGTTGAGTACCTCTGAGTTCAATCACTGGTACCCTGTCACCACCACTGCAAAAAAATAATTGGGGCAAATGGACAGACCATCTTAACTTCATTAGTTTCCTTTTCCTTTCTGTGTGTTTTCCGAACTTGGTAGTGTCTACAAATGTGTATCATCTTCTCTTAAGGAAGTAGATCTAGTTGAAATATTTGTACAAGCTGTCCTTGTTTCCTCCAAAGGAAGATTGCATAAGAGAGTTTTAATCAGTTGTGAGGGGTGACCCATTTTCAAGTCATCAACAGTGTAATTACTGTTGATGTGCTTTAAGCATTTCGAAAAGCAGTGGCTCACTTAGAAAAGGCAAGTTTTCCTTTTTGAGTTGTGTAGATGTTAAATTATACAGACGGGAAAGGAAATAAAGTAACACATTCTTTTTAAACCTTGTTTCCATTGTATCTGGCAGATGTACATTCCTTCTGAGCCAAATTTTAAGCTCTTATATACTAAGGTGTAGCTGCAATGGGGAATATGTAGCTCAGTGGTATAGCACTTGTCTAGCATTCATGAGACCCTGAGTTCAATTACCAGTGTAGCCCCCCCCCCCAAAAAAAAAGTTGAGATTAAATGTTTTTAATGCTTACATCTTGGAATTTTTAAATATATACCTGTTTTAATTGTGTGTGTTTGTGTATATTTTCTAATTGTATAAATGATCATATCCATTAAGGAATGTAAGAAAGTTGTGAGCAAAAATAAAGGAAAAAAATTAAAACATTTCATAATTTTATGCCTTAAATGGGTATCATTATTTATATTCTTGTCTGTTATTTAAAACATTCCTCTGCATATTGAATATACATTCGATATAATTTGACATACTTATCTTTGGGATACTTTTTGAAAACTTAATTTGAGAAGATATTTAGTAGTTGCCTGATTACGTGAGATGTTCTTTTAAACAATTTACATCTATAAATAAGTTCTTATTTTCCCCCAAATAGTGACATAGCTACCCCAAATCCTCTTGAGAAAGAAAAGGAATATAAATGAGCACCTTGGGAGGTTATGGACTCTCTTTTCAACCACTTAGAGCTCATCTTTACATTCTCTTTGAATATCATAAGTAATGATGAATCTTGATGCTTTGAAGCTACAAATGAATTTTTGAAATAGCTAAAGGTAATTTAATCCCAGAGAGATGAATAGAAAAACTGAGTAATATCAGTTGGTATAAAACTGGTCCTGTGGGTATTTCCAAAGAGAAATTAGAAAACTTTCTTTAATCAACTATAACATCATTGAAATATTTACATATTCTTCCAGAAAAGACTGCTTCGAAAGGAATCATATTTAAGTCTCTTAAGTTCTGAAAAGTCAGACTGACTTTTATCTTTTCACTCAGAAATATTTCCTAGAGTACTTAGCAGTGCTGCTGGGGATTAGTGACCATGTAGAGTTGAAAGTGAGTGATTAGACATTTATCACTGGTTATCAGGAATGAGAAGTTCTGGACCCAGTTCTCCTTGACCAATGAAAATTGTTGTTCCTCTTCTAGAAAACAAGATAATTGAGTACAGTGGTGCATGTCTGTAAACCCAGCTCCTAGGAAGGCTGAGACAGGAAGATTGCTTGAGCCTAGGAGTTCAGGGCTAACCTGGGCAACAATAGAAGTGATACCCACGTCTCTTTAAAAAAAAAAAAAAAGAAAAGAAAAATGTGATGTTGGAATTAAGTTAATTCTGTATGCTTGATACTGACCAGGACATTAAATACTCAGAGTGTATGGGGTCCTTCTGGACATGAGGAAAACTGTAGGCGGCCTTTACCAGTTAGAAGATGAACATAAATAAAATGTTCAAAAAAAAAAAAAATAGCACATGTTCTTTGTGTATTGGGGGAGGGGGGCATACTAGGGATTGAACCTAGGGGCACACTGTCCCTGAGCTATATCCCCAGCGCTTGTTTTTTGAGACAGGTCTTGCTAAGTTGCTCAGGCTGTCCTTGAACTTGCGAGCCTCCCATTTTAGCCTAAAGTGTCACTGGGATTATAGGTGTGTGCCAACACATATTCTTTGGTGGCACTGTTTCATTTTGTTTTGTTTTTGTGGTGCTGAGGATGGAACCCAGAGCCTTCTTCTTTACATGTGCTAGGCAGGTGCTCTACCACTGAGCTATGCCCGTGGCCCTTCATTGTGTTTTTAGATGAGCTGTGAGTGAGTCAGTGCCTGTTTATAACAGGGTACAAGGAGGAAATGGGTTTTATTTAAAAGAAAATTTGTTTTGTATGTTGAAAGTAGTCTTTAAATGCTTTGAAGATGTGAAGGTGCATCTGAGAACTTTAGTATCCTTTCAGAACCTCAAGTAATTCCCCAGTCCATGAAGATTTTATTTTATGCAAAGATGTTGTTGCAGAGACTGTATTATTTATTCCCTACTTCTCCACACTCACAGTTTTTACCTAGTACATGTATACTTAGCTTAAACTAAGGAGAAAAGCTTTCATCAAAGAAAATACAGACTTGCAGTTCCAATGGAGGTGAAATAAAGATGAGTGATCTCAGATAAAAAGATAAAAATTTTAGTGTTAAAATTTATTTTTGAAAATTAGAAGTATCCTGAATAGCCCATTGGTAATAAACTAGTTAAGTTATACTATAACATACTATGTCTTAATGGACAAAAATGTTTTACAACCATTACTCACGTTTTAACACCATCTTTGAGGAACAAAAAGGAAAATGCAAATATTTTCCATGCAAATTTCAATTGTGAATGTCAGAATATTGGCTATAGTTATCAGTAACTGTTGAGTTAGAGGTTAAAAACATAACTGCTCTGTAATTTCTAAATAGTCTACACTGTGTGCTTTTATTACAAAAGTAAATATTTTTTTAAATATTACAAAGGCATGACCTTTGAATGTCCTGTCCGCATCATTGTCTGCACTTCTGTCTTTCATTCTAGAAAGTCACCAAGCTATCCTTGGCCAGAATT